ATGAGTTGCGTACCTGTTGCGATCGTGTTGCGATCGTGTTGCGATTGTGTTCCGTGCGTAGCGTACCTGTTGTGTCCCTGTTGCGTATAAATTGATCGCAGGCATTCGCAGAGAATTATTTAAAAGTCCCGTCACACCATAGCGTATGCTGAAACCTATGAGTTGCGTGTAAAAAATATTTTTATACGCACCAAACGCAACCCAAATCACCCCTTGGCTAGAAATGTATAAAGGGAAGGTTCTTGGTTGTGAGGAGGTCGGACGTGAGTGTGTGAGGCACGCGGCTGCGTGCCTCTGTGCGCGCGCATGTGGGTTGAGAAACAATAATACTATTTGCTGAACACAACTGCTTGGAGTTTGGAGTTTCCTTATTCATCGCTACAACAAATCTACTTTGAAACGGGTCACATACCGTGATCATCCTCGTTACATTTTGATGCCGTCGACAGTTCGAACCGGGTTTGCGGACATAACGCAAGATGCTACCACTACAAACGATTCACGAGCCACGGAGCCACGGAAGAAAACTGTAGAAGGAAGAAGAAGATTGGAGAGCGAGAAAAGGAGAGCGGACGATAGAGCAAGAGAGACAGAAGAAGAGAGAGAGGGAGAGACGGAAGGAAAGAAGGCAATGCCGAGACGCCGAAACAGACAGAGCAACGGAAGCTCAGAGAAGAAGCTAGAAGAAAGAAGAGGAAGATATAATGCCGTGATAAGTGTTGCATTTTTCCTAGTATAAAATTTTGCTGTGCTAACGCTGTTTACTGTCGCCTGACTGCTAAGTATACTGACGATATTGCCTGTTGCACATTTATGTAAGTGGAGCGCGGACGGTTTGTGCCACAATAGACGAGTTATGGGGTGCATAAGGTATAAAGAGCGTTACACGGGCTAGGATAGATAGCCGTGGCACGCGTGTGATAAAAGGCGAAGATGGCCCTACGCGAACGTATTCGCGTCACGCGTCACGTTTAACGCGTGAAAAATACGCGGCTAAAGTTATGTCTCTGTAAAGACAATACACGGTCCGAGAGACGGACTACGGGGGATTTCTGTGGCAGCATATATACGCTGGGAATTCTCCACATAACGTGTCAGAGAGCATGGAATATAGATACACTCGATGAGTAAGCACCCTAAGATACTAGGACGTACCTGAACGATATAAGGATTCGTTCAGTCACGCCATATATGAAGGAACAGTAGATAATCGTATGATATCTAGTTATGCACAGGTGTATAGTTGGATACTATAGAAGGCTGGCGATGCGGTAATGGCAAGCACAGATGATGTTATTTTGGGAAAAAATTGTCGCTGAATACGGCAGAGTATATTTAGTTAGGAACATGTTGTTATGACATATATGCAATAGGCATGTTAATACAGTAAATGAGTAAACGGTGTTTGTTATTGGTACATATCGATAGCATATGCGTCGCATACACGCGTGTGAATCCTGCGGTTTAGGATGCAGAAATGTTGTAAGCTGGAGCATGATGTTGAGTAAGCATATATAAATATATAGCATACATATATAATGGCAGGGTTGTTTAAAGATCTTGAGGAGAGGGGTATTATGAATGACCTGGGTTTTGATGTATGTGATTGATCACACATACATTGAATATACGTTGGGGATGGAGCTAGGGGATCTAGCTTGGGGATTTTTTTTTCTTTTCAGTGATGTTATGGTATCTATTTTATTCCATTTTATTTATTTCGTATTTTTTGTTTTTCAAGGTGTTGTGTTGTGGGGTATTGCAAGGGAGACGTGTGTTGTTGTTGTTGCTGTTTTCTCGGTATATTAAGCAATGAACAGTTTAGATCATGGTGGTTAGCTTGGCAAGTCGGGTCAAGCATGTGGATTATATCAGAGTGGTCAGTGGGATGATTTCAGAGGGCTGTGTATTCCATCGATCTGTGTATCTGTGTATTGATGTTGTATTATAGTGGTCATATGTGATTTTTGTTCAAACTGTATTTTTGTATATGAGTGTATTGGTGTTCGGTGAAAGAGATATTGTATTAGTATAGTAACGGTACGAGCAATTTTGGGTGATGTTGGATTGTCTAATCGCCAGGATGAGAGACAGGTGTATGTGTGTGTGTGTGCGCGTGCGTGCGTGCGTGCGCGTGCGTGTGTGTATGTAGGATGTAAGTCTGCATGGGTGTGTACGTAGGGTGAATTAATATTAGGGTTTTTTTTTAGATTAGCGAGGACGCTAAAGTCGATGGCTTATAGAAGCCATCGTCTTGGAGGAAAGGAAGGTAATGTAAAATGTGGTTTGCAGATGGTAGAAATAGTAGTTGTGTTTAGAAATGTCGCGACGGTGGTTGCCTAACGCGTTAGGCGGCGGCGGCGCGTCTGATGTAGTATGGATGATGGAGATGCGAAGTGGTTGAGAGGGAAGTGTTGTGCATGTGGGCAGCGGATGTGGTTTTCCGGGCGCGCACGACTTTCTTTGTTAGCTAGAAATGTATAAAGTGAAGGTTCTTGGTTGTGAGGAGGTCGGACGTGAGTGTGTGAGGCACGCGGCCGCGTGCCTCTGTGCGCGCGCATGTGGGTTGAGAAACAATAATACTATTTGCTGAACACAACTGTTTGGAGTTTGGAGTTTCCTTATTCATCGCTACAACAAATCTACTTTGAACCGGGTAACGTCATCGTCCTCGTTACACATTAATTGCTTGCTATGGGCTATGTATGCGTCACGAGTGTATGTTCACATCAAACAATATAGTAAAATAAGAAGTATAATGCAGCAATTTAACCATAAAAGGTGAACAGAATTACTTATATTTTGTGAAAAAGTGGAAATATTTTTATTTTTTACTATTTACGGTGACGTAATCACTTTAATGTTGAGTATGAGTAATGTTGAGATAATTATTCAAGATAATTATAGGCGCAAAACTTTATTTACCTGATATTTTATTACCAACACCAGCCTCCTTACTTTGTACATAGAGCACTCGTCTTGTAAACCAGTGGTCGTGAGTTCACTCTTCACACGAGGCTGATTTGGCTTTTAAAGTTATAGTTTTGCGCGTAAGCGAATGTCAGCCTCGTGGGAAGAGTGAACTCACGACCAGTGGTTTACAAGACGAGTGCTCTATGTACGAAGACTCTTCGAAACAGATTAATTACTATGCTAATGAGCTCTTACGCAAATCAATGTTTGCAAAATTTAGAACTTTAGAATCAAATACAGAGCCTCCTGTGAGGATTGAACTCACGACCCCTGGTTTACAAGACCAGTGCTCTAGCCACTGAGCTAAGGAGGCACGCCTTCTTGCCATACCTTTACATAATATCTATATTCACTCTGGTCTTTCCTCAACCGTAACATAATGCGCAACAATAAATTTCAATGTTACGAAACCGACATTGTACTGTACGGAATTATAAATTGCCCTCCTTAGCAAGTCGACTGTGTCAGCCAGCCTCCTAGTGATTCAGATATGTATTCAGAATAATTCAACCATTTATACTATACATATTTATCGTAATTTATTCTACTGACGCGGTTGACGAAAATCGCTTGGCTGTGCGCGGTAACCGTTTCATTTAACTATTAGTGAGGCATTTCGAAATTGAGTATTTCATAGTGTGGAATTTGTCAATAACCAAGTCGTCACTGAGTGATGAGCAGTCGCGTAATGTAAATACAACGTTGTTTGCTTAGTCAAGATACACGCTAGTTGATTAGATACGCACAGTCGATGATCTAAACGTTAAAATATTTCGACGATGCCGCGTGCGTTCTGTTATGAATTCTGTTTCTCTCTAGAGATTAAGAGACTAGTAGATTTATAGATTCTACAGCAGTTTCGTCTCAAATTAGATAGCTGCACACGATAGCATCACACTAGCACACAGTAACCATGGGTACATGAATAGATAATTCTCTATGCATGCACTCCTGACGTCATCAGAAGTAATAACAGTGGAAAACTTCATCACGAGCAGCTTCTATTCTTTCTCGCTGAGCAGAATACGCGAATGTCGCATGTTTCGGCGCAGGTGGGTTGTCATGGCAACGGGAAGCCAGAAGACTTATAGACGTGTGAGTAGTGGTTAATTAGACCGAGTTCTATTGCGGATTGAACGATAAACCGATGTACATTGGGATTCTGATTACTAAAACGAAACCATACTTGCCTCATTTACTGAGCATATAAAGACTCGCTAATACGTTTCCTGGGAATTTACATCCAATGCTACTAACTCGATATGTCCCCGGTGGCTGTTTCCGTACCGATGACGTCACCACAGTGGCTTCCATACAAAACCGTGGCGACCATAACGACAGGATCGGAGCCAACTTCGCAATGTTTCTATCAGTGGCGCCATCTATTGACAACTTATATGATAAATTACCGGTTGTGAGGCGTGCATTGAATGATTGCGTCGTTACTGATGTATCTCTTTACTGTAATTTTATCGCACACAAGAACAATCGTCCATTCCCGAAGAAGAAAAATTACAACGTTCACATCAATAGTGTAGTTCCATATATTCAAATTACTGCACACGTACATCAACACACACTAAGTGAGGTACACTTAGTAATGCAAAAAGAATTGTGGGATAGTCTGTGCAGAAAGAAAAAAATTCGAAAACATTAACCACTAGTAGGGTCAACACAGGATATGCACACAGACCCTGCCCATACAATTAGGCTCACTGCACGTAATACAAAAGGTTTGATGACAAGCATACCACATGATGATACACACACATATATATATTTCTATATACATACACAGAAATTTCGCTCGGCAATGCACACAACAGGGATGCGACAAGTTTTCTCAATGGCATTCTCAATAGCTATCATGATCGACTTTGATGAGAAAACTCTGCCCCTTCACGACCGTTTTCAAAGTAGAAACGCGCAATCTCGCAGCAATGAATATAAAATCTTGCGCGAGTCAAAGCGCAATTCCCGCCAAGACGACGACCCGCTCCCACTGCCGCGTATCCACGGCGACCGCACCCTCCACGCGCCGGCGATGCCCCCTGGTGCACGTGCGCACGCCGCCGGCGCCCCCTGGTGCCGTGCGGGGTCACTCGTGTGCGACGAAGGGGTTCGGGATGGCTTCCATGCCGTCGAGCGGACAGATAAGCACGACGGCCGTGCCCCGGCAGACAACGAGGCCCAGCTGTCGGCTGTCCTCCGTCAGCCTGTACGGATCGTCCGGATCTACAGCGTGACGAAAGAGAGAGAGAGGAAGGGTCAGTGTTGATGTTAGAGAGAGAAGGGGGAAGAGAGAGAGAGAGGGGTCTTCTCCCTACGTTGCGCAAACCGGGCGCGCCCGCGCACCGTTTTTAATGGGAATGGCTACATGAGGAACAGGCTGAGTGAGTCAGCTTTGGAGGCGCTGCTGCTACTGGCAATTGAGGGGCCACCTCGGCAAAAATTCCCATTTGACCCACTGGCAGCAAGAACAAGTCCGCACCTGCAGCTACAGCACACACGCATCTATTGACTATATATAACAACGTTATATATAGTTGTTATAGTAGTTATAGTTGTTAATCTTGTTATAGTAGCTATAGTTGTTATAGTAGCTATAGTTGTTATAGTAGTTATATATAACTATATATAATGTTGTTACATATAGTCAATAGATGCGTGTGTGTTGTAGCTGCAGGTGCGGACTTGTTCTTGCTGCCAGTGATTTGACCAGGCCCCCGGAACCCCCTAGTTTCCCCTCCCCCTCCCCCTCCCCTCCCCCTGTTTCAATTTCATCCTGGGGAGAACCCTGAGAGAGGGTTAGTGTTGATGTTAGAGAGAGAGAGGGGGGAGAGAGAGAGAGAGGGGGAGAGAGAGCGCATGAAAGAGAGAGAGGGAGAGAGAAGTGTGGAGTTATATTAGTGATGATGCTAAAGAGAGAGAGAGGGACAGAGGGAGAGCTTCACAAACCTGCATGCATGGTCTCAATATACACTAAGTCTTGATTGTGAATTTATATGTAATAGGATCCCGAATGTAAGTTACGTATAAAGTTATTGTGTACCAAAGTATACACCTACATATCAAATTGTATCAGGAGTCTATCAATATTGATAGACTCCTGATTGTATATATAAGTTAAATATATATGTATAAGTATGTATTGTAATGGCTGCAACATGTTTGCAACATACCTGGAAATAAAGAAATTATATTAAAAAAACCTGTGCGCATGGTCTCGCACATTCTCTCGCTCGTCGGTGCACGACGCACTGACTACGATCACGGCGAAATTTTTACGAGGCGACTCGAGAGAAACGTACGTGCCAGCAAATTTTGCGCTTTTACATTCAAGTGTATAGAGGTTGATATTAAACAGCACAAAAGGCATGCATTCTCAAATACATTTGTTATCAGTTTTTCAGAAAAAAAGAGCAGTGATGATGACCATGTAGGATAGCTACAGGAATAAATTGTAGAAAACCAAGCCCAATGTGTGTGCATGTATATAAATTTATATATATATAACACACATTATTGCAGAAAAATCACTCCTTTTGTTAGATGTACATACCTCTCAGATACTCTGTGGTACCATCTAACACTAGGTTCAACAGCGGATCATATCCTTTCAACACACCACTAGCTGAAAACCAAAGACAGAAAATCCTATACATCACTTCATACAGAATGACAGACTCAAAGTTCAGGTTATTGAATAAATTACAACAAGAGACAAATTTCAGTGGTTTTGTGAATATTAAACGCACAACTTTAAAATGAAACCTGCGCACAGCCGTAGAAATTAACTTTTGAACACAGGAGTCCAACGGACTCCCTACCGGCAAAAAGAGAGAGTCCGCAGCAAAATTAGGGAGTCTGCAGTCTGAGGTTCAAAATTAAAGATATTAACAATAACGCATACATGCTTATTTTTAAGATTCATGCGGTTGCACGTCTGCCAAATTTTCTTTGGACATTAGCTGAAAAAATATGGTAATTCCGCGAGGCCGTGCTCTGGGACGAACTAGTTAGTATGGCAAAATTTTCAGGGAGTCACACAGACTCCTGCATATGTCAAATCAGGGAGTCCGACAGTAAATCAGGGAGCATTTGACACCGGACTCCTGTTAATTTTGCACCCTGTGCACATGTTGTGACATTACATCAATCTGTAATTCTGTATTTCCAAATACCTTCTCTTCCACCATGGAACTTGACTCTGATCTTCTTGTCTAGATATTTTGATAAGTCAAGTATGCTTTCCTTCTTCTTTCTATCTTTGTCCTTGTCTCCTCCCTACAAGAAATCAATTAAACAACAAGAAATTAACTAACAACGAAAATAATCTAATGTTTCCACAAACTGCTAAAAACAAAAACAAGATTTACCTAATAATTCGTATTACGTAGTCAATTTAAACCCCCATGCCATATGTTTCTAACCCCCACTCTATAGGCATGTATTTGTATTAGGTATATTAGTAATATACCTAATATAAAATAATACATGCCTATAGAGTGGGGGTTAGAAACATATGGCATGGGGGTTTAAATTGACTACGTAATACGAATTTTCTATGGTACAAAATATATTTGTAAAAATTTTGTTGCAATCTTTTTATATTATTAGTAAGTACCAATGGGACTAAATGTATCCTGAAATTCTTACCTGATAAGATTGTTTTTCAACTAGTTCAAAATCCAAAAAAACTGGACGATTTGATATATTAATCACGACATTAAATGCTTGCTACAGGCTATGTATGGGTCATGAGTGTTTGTTCACATCGAAAGGAATAGCAAAATAGGAAGTATAACGCAGAAATTTAACCATAAAAGGTGAACAGAATCACTTTCATTTTGTGAAAAAGTGGACATAATTTTGTTTACGTTTATTATCTATGGTGACGTAACCACTTTAAGCTGGCTCGCCCACCTAAAGCCCGGCGCACATTGCCGAACACTTTGCTCAAAAACATTATCGTAGCAATGTTCCATGAAATGTTCAGCAATGTGCGGTGAAAAAAGTCGCCGAACATTTGTTCCGAACAATGTTTCTGAAGATCGGAAATGTTTGATATCTCGAACATTGTTCGTCAATGTGCGCTGAATGTCGAACAATTCTAGGAACATTTGTAAAGTAGTAACCAATAGCAGCACGATACGTGGTCACATGATTTTTGTGTACAATATGGCGTCTGCTATATCGCTGCCAGAAGTGTGGACTTTTGAAAAGGAAGAGATTATGGTCGAAATGTGGGAGCAGCAGCCCTGTCTAAAATTAGTAAAGTTGTTAAAATTCTCTTGTGCAAACTGGGCATCGCCATTCACGCCGATCACGTGACTCTTTACAACATTATGGTCGAAATGTGGGGGCAGCAGCCCTGTCTAAAATTAGTAAAGTTGTTAAAATTCTCTTGTGCAAACTGGGCATCGCCATTCACGCCGATCACGTGACTCTTTACAACACAGCTACTAGACGGCGCCACAAGGTTGTTCGCTGGAAAATGTTCGGCAATATGCGCTCAGCAATTGTTCACCCGCACATTGCCAGACAAAAACATTTGTTCGGACAAACATTTGTTTGGGAAAATGTTCGGCAATGTGCGCTCAGCAATTGTTCACCCGCACATTGCCAGACAAAAACATTTGTTCGGACAAACATTTGTTCGGGAAAATGTTCGGCAATATGCGCCAGGCTTAACCTGTCTGGCCCATCAAACAATTTCAAAATAAATAGGCCATTGTTTAAAAACCACTTATCTGAATTAAAATATCGAACTGATCGCTAATATCATTCAATAATATACTTTTTTATTCAAATATCACTAATCTGGTTTGATAATCTTGTAGTGGCATGTAGTATTGAAGATATTTGACAATGTAGTTTGTGCATATCTATGAGTCATTAATCTCCATCAGGGTTTTGTTCGCGGTATTAACTTATCGCGTAGACCAATATTAATTTATCCAGGCAGTAGTTGAATGAATTTGAATGCTTGGCCAAACATAAAATCCCAAATTGTCCAAACCTTTATCAAACATCCAAGTCATTAAAAACGATCTCATTAATTGTGTAATAATTATTATTTTTGTAGTGGGAGAAGCATCATATTTATTACAATTGGGTAAAGTACGTAGACAAAGCTGGAATAGATTATCTAAATTTGGTTAGATTCACGTTTTACTCCTTTTTAATGACGATTACAACTGTGCAGGGAGTGGTTGCATTATAGGCATAAGTATTAGTTCCATAGCATCGCAGTACTTCTACTTCTACTCTATATTGGCCACCATCAACATACTGCAATGATTCTGCCAACGGGAGGCGCTAGTTGAGGCTAAAATAAAATTTTCCTTCCCTTTGATTTTCTAAAGAAGAAAAAAAAAGAAGCAAATTTTACTTAAAAAAACTGCCCTTGTGTCGTTTAGGCAGTAATCAGAGACTGAAAACCGAAACATAAGGCGCGTTCAGACAGACGTTTTTGGCCCGAGCCTAATTAGGCCCGCGCCAGATTTGGCTCGAGCCGAGCGTTCACACGGACGGTTTTTCGGGCCGTGCCAATTTGGCCACGAAGCAATTTGGTCCCATCAAAAACGTCGGACCAGGCCCGAACCAAATTTTAGCACCAGCTTTCGGCGAGTGGTAGAGCCACAGGCACTTGGAATGTCGTAATAAAAAAAATTAATGGTAAATAAACACGAAATGTACCAAAGTCTTAATGTTTCTCTACTCATATTTCGCTATATCACCTGGTAAATGCCGGTCAAATGCTCATCTGCAACACACAAGTACACCGCCACACCCGCCCTGTGCTGCCGTGCCACAAACAACATAATAAGAGAGCAGGTAGGAAAGCGGGATTAAAAAATTTGTTCGACGCTTCGCTTCATTTCCACACGATCACAGAACGAAAAACACATTCCAAACAGCTCCCATCTTGTATCTATGTGTACATTAAATGTTCACTTGGTTCGAATTATAACTCTGACTTTGTTCCTTACCTACTCCCGCCAGAGATATCTCGCTGAAATCCTGCAGGAAAATGTTCTCTCCGTGAAAATGTAGAGGACGACGATGTCTGTTTATACACGAGTAATGGGGCACATTGCATGCTGGGATTGAGTGGCTGCCTGACTACAGCCGATCGCATCGAAAGTAGCGCGCTTAGGATTTGTCGAGATGCATACGTCCTCTACATTTTACGGAGAGAACATTTCCTGCGAGGATTTCACGAGATACTCTGGCGAGTAGGTAAGAACAAGTCAGAGTTATAATTTGGAACAAGCTGAACATTTATGCTACAGCATACTAGATACCAAGATGGCGAGCTGATTTGATGTGTTTTTCGTTGCTGTGAGCGGTTGAAATGAAGCGAGCCGTTCTCGAGCGAATTTAGCGATCAAGCTTTCCTATCTGCTCTCTTATATGGTTGTTGTGAGGCACAGGTACGGGCGTTGCTCGGTGTTTACTTGTGTGTTGCAGATGAGCCATTTGACGGCATTTACAGCGTGATATATAGGTTGAAATAGAGTAAGAAACATTAGAGACTTGGTAAAATTTCGGTGTTTATTTATACCATTAATTTTTTTATTGAGACGTTCCAAGTGCCCTGTGGGATATGGGTAGAGCGTCGGTAGTCCGGTTGACGTATCCCGCTGTAGTGTCGAACGTGTACTTCGACAAATAAAGTCCAAAAACACAGGCGTTTCTCAAGAGCATTATAGCTGCAGCCCGCCAGGCTATCGTCGAGCCCCGCCATCCTACAATGCACCCGCCACTCTAAATATCATAGCCGCCATGCTAAATATCATAGCCCCCCGACACCCCAAGCACGTAAACCGCCTCGGCAATTTGCAACATAGCGACCGTAAGGCAGCACCCCCATTGCTATAATGAAAAAGCTTGCGGAAGACACCTGAACGTAGAAAAATTTGAAAATATTTGATCAGATGATGTGTTCAAGATGGATAATTGTACTCGGAATGAAGTAAACCAACTACTAAATTCAGAGCCCCACAACGCAGTCTCGCGGACATACTGCCCAAAGTATCTGTGAGATATTTTGCAATAAAATTTATTTGAATTTGAATTGAATTGACAGACAGTACTCACTTGCGTACGTTGTGAACTCTCTGACTTCAAACCGGTCCAAGCCAAATTTGGCCCGAGCCAAATTGAGCCCATTTGGGCTCGCAGCCAAAACCCCATACGTGTGAACCACTGCAGCAAGACAAGCCGCACGTACAGCACACACCGCGCCATTGACTATAATGACAACGATGGCTTGCCTTAAGTTCGCCGCCCGCAGTTTCCACCAACTCACCGTTTTCAATCAGTTTACAAGACTCCGGTGTTCCTGCAGGTGACGGCCACTTTTCCAACTATGTTGGAATCGCGAAAGCGACTGACTGAACAAGCTACACCCGCCATTTTGACAATTGGCTGCCAGAATGCCCCCCGCTTAAATCACAGAAATTCTCAATATACATGCGCGAAATGGATCTACTCGATCTACCAGGCAACGGGCGATGCTCCAAATCGTGGGGCTGCCGCTGATTGGCCATACTCACCCGCGATGTCAACAAACGTAGTGCACAGACCTTCTGCGCATGTTAAACTTTCGCGGCAGCTAATCGCGCGCACCAAGCGATTTGGCATGCCGGACCCTTTGCCTGGTAGCATCCGAAGGGTCATTTGCATGTATATCTTGAGGGAATTTCGTGATATTTGAGCGGCAATTCTGGCGGATGCGTATTGGTCAAAAATGGCGGTCTGATTTGTTTCAGCAGTCTTCCGCGATTCCAACGGATAGTTGCAGGAAAAGTGGCGTCACCCTGCGAGGAACACCGGAGTTAAGATAAACGTGATGAAACAAATCTGCGTGAGTTTGTGAAACTTCCGATGCTGCGAGTTAGGCACCTGTGTTATTATAGTCATATGTCGCCGCGTTGTGTCTGTATTGTGCGGGTTTGTTCTGATTGCCAGTTGGTCGTGAGACCACAGCACGTTGAACGCTTTCAATAAATATATAATTGCTAACTAAATACGAAATCTATTTACTACAAAAATTCTTTTAATGTTTGATAGGCCTACTCTCTCTTTCACCTCATATATTGCGATAGTTCCATTACTATGCCTTACCGGCTGCCATTGACTCTCGCGGCCGCGACTGTTGGCATGTCTACACTAATATATAGAGCAGGTAAGCAAAGCGCGATCCCAAATATCTGCTCGAGCTGCCCTACATTTTACACCATTTTTCAATGACAATACACATCCAAACAGCATTCCAT